AAGGTGGCTTCTGGATGGATGCGATCAAGACGCACTGCTTCGTGACGTACACCAGCTCCGAAATTGTCTGCGCTTCTTTTCCTGACAGTGTGTGCACAGCTGGTAACTTGACTATGACGCTGGTTGCATACTGTACTGGCAGAAAGTAGTATCGCTGCACTTGACGGTAAATTGTGGCCTCCAGAAAATGGGCGGTCGCTCAAAGGTCAGGTTCGTAGACCATACAGCCATGGAGGTACGGTTACGCTAATCATGGCTGCGCAGCGACTAGTGCTAAGCTCGTCGCTGTCTCGTACGGATCAGGTTGCACAGCTCGGCGAGGCAAACATTCCGAGTCAACCAAAACGTGGAAGTAGCAGCGAACAAGCTCCTCAGCGGCCGGGTAAAGATTGAACGAAGGACGAACTGGTTCTGATGCAAAAGACTGATGATGTTTGCTGTTCGTGTAGAGGTGACGATCGACGAATTTTTTCTGAAGACCGAGACTAAACCCGTGCTTTACTACTTGCCACTGACCGACGAGCAGATCAAGCAAAAGAAGGAGCGCCAGAGGCAACCAGAAGGGCAACCACGCAAACGTCGACACCGCGGTGGGCGCAAGAGAAACAGACGTGCCCGTTTCCAGCGGCGCTAGCTACATTTTTCTGCGTGGACCGCAAGGCCAGCGGCTGCGCTAGAAATTCCGCGATACACGTCATGCTTGTTGCACGCGAATGCCGTCAGCTTGGAAAAATAGCAGTGTGACCATAACCATCCTACAAACAAGATCAACAATGACATTGCATCCCAATTGTGTTTGCCACCTGCTTATCGTCCTTTTGCAGGCTTTTACACCTCTTACCGTTCCACGTGCATGTTACTTCCCGCCACAAGACAGTATCTGCCCAGCCCGTTCATAGCTCAAAGGGAATGTCCTCGTCCGAATATAGTACATCGTGCTCCAGCCCAATTTTCGTGTCGTACAGAAGCGAAACGCAGCTGGTCGCGTATGCCTTGTCCGTGTTCAGGCGCTCCAAGATGCGCAGCAGTGAACGCACAGCAGATAGCAATTCTTCTTTCTTGATAGGGTTGACGTCGTGCGCATCACCAGCTCCTCCAGCTCTGCCTTCTTCAACAGCATCTCCAGCGTTCGTGCCCACGCTAGCGACCGCTTCACTCTCCCGTTCAATTGCCGCTATCATGCGGTGGAGATTGTGCAGCAGCCAGTCGTACAGGAACCCACGGGGCTTGGATTTAAACGCTTGCAATATGACGGGGTCATCTTCTTCCGTGGCAATGTGGACCAGATGCACCAACGTGAAGGATAGCTGTGTCTCCAATTGCTCCTTGTATCGAAACTCAGTCACATCCTTCAAGTCCGATGCCGTCTCCAGCGCATCCATCGTGGCTTGAAGCGCCAACTGGAAAAAAGAACCGAACGCACTACGGCTTTGAGATACCCGCAACGCTGTAGCAGCACTAATGCGCACCTTGAAATTCTCCTGCTGTGCAATGGCGGTCAGTAGTGCCTGAAACACAGAAGGCGCCCACGTCGCCGACGCTAGCGGCAAGCTTGGACACAGCAGAACCTTAGCAATGGCATGACATGCGTTCCACCTAACTTTAGGTGAGCCTGCGTTGATCTTTCCAGAAAGCACAGCCATCGCTTGTCTCAACAAATCGTCCAGTGAGGCAAGGCTCTTTCCAGAAAGAGTACGCCGGAAAGGTGTGAAGCTAATCCAGCGACACACGAGTCCCAGTGTACGCGCCACACTTGAAGCCACCTTGTCGTTATCGTTGATGTAGATCAACATCTTCTCAACCACAAGGCGCAGCTGCTTCTCCGGAAGTAGTTCGTACAGCACCTGCGGAGGGAGCCGAAGAGACGCCATCGAAGGGTCCACGAGCGTCGCCGGTTGATGTAGTACAGGACCACCGCTTTCTGTGACGGACTCTGGGCCAGGGGTGGTGCAAACGTTGCCCAGCGCCCATGCAGCCCGAACACGCACATTTAAGGTCGAGTCGCCAAGCGCTTCCACTGCTAAACTCACCACATTAGAGGCAAATCCGCGCGTCTTGAAAGTCGGAGCAAGGCATAACGAACCGAGCAGCCGGAATCCTGCAGCCCGTACAACTGGAGAGCTATCCTTCGGAGTTTGCAGGAATATTCGAGTGTACGAGTCCAGGCACGAAACGTTCGGCCCCGATCCATGATACCCTCCACTTTTGGCTGCCAGTACTGGAAGACGTCGGGACTGCCTCTTTTCACCAAGCCAAGCCCAGTCTCGACATGACAATAGCGTGAAGCATGCGCAGACACTTGCACGAACATGATGCGATGTATCGTAAAATGCTCGCACCAAGTGCGTCGCCATAAACTCCAAACAGTCGACACGGCAAGCATCCTTCTCGTGTCTACTTCCAACTACAGCGGGATCAGAACATCCATTCTCGCCCTTGATGTAATTCTCCAGTATCTTTACCGCTTGAAGGCGTATGTTGGGATCCATGTCTTGAAATGCCACTAGCATAAATTCCGATAGTCGCTTCCAGTTCATACTCAGTGCTGGCGAGTAGTTCTTTGCAATCTTGGACAAAAGGGACATTGCCTCCAATCGTAAGAGCGAGCGCGACGGATCATCAGGCCGTGACGCCACCAACAGAAGCTCTTCGACAAACGAATTATGACGTAGTAACCATGTTCCGCATGCAATTGATACGTGAGCGACCCGGATTACACGATCGACGTCACTCGTCTGTACCATCCAATCCAAGATGGACGGGAGAGTCTCTTGAACGTTGAGAAGCGCAGACATACACGATAAACTTGCCATACGCACACCGTGATCTACCACACGCCATTAAGACATCAAAAGTAAGTCCGCAATACACCACACGAGCAACAGCACTACCATTTGCATACACGTACCAGTCGATGATGCCGCCACGTACAAGCTTGACGCAAGGGCCTTCAAAATATCCTCCAAACTAGGCGTGAGCTCGATCTGGTCGAGAACTGCGACGACGTTTCGATACGGGAAGTGCTGAATCACTGACGTTGTGCTCTACATCGGTCACCACATACAATCACGCACTCAGCAAACGATGGGCCACACAGAGCATGTCAACACAAGTTGCTCACCTTGAGTATATGTAACAACGGCGCGGGTTCTTTCTCGTGCTGAATACAATACACCAAAGTGACGTGCACCTGATACAGCATCAAAGAAACTCGCCTCGGCAACGACGCGAACGACATCGGCATCGTGGTTGACGTAATCGCACCCACTCCAAGCGGACGTTGAAAATACATTTTCAAAGGTAGCTTCTCCCAGAAAGCGTCCAAGAACTTTGCAGCTGTCACGCGGGCCTTTTCGCTTGGGTCAGCGATAAGTAGAGTAAGAACGGACGGCGTATTGTCGAACAACGTCATATAAGGTGTTGTCTGTTCCGGCAAGTACAAGCCCATCGACGACGTGATGGCTTTGGGAAAATGCTGCGCGATCGCTTCAAGTGTGTACAACACGTTGATACGCAGACGGGCCAGCAGACCGCTATTCACACAACAAAGTTAGCATAAACAAGTGAATACAACAAAGATGCAGGATATGAAGCCCGACCACAGCACTTACTCTCCACTTTGGCGCGGTCCGATGCAACCATCAGAGCCACAAACAGACGAATCGGAATCGGAAGGGTGCAAATCGTCTTGACACGAGAACATCGCATGGGTGGCATCAAACTTGAGAACAAGGCCATATCCCACGACTTGGCGCATGGAGCTAAGCAGACTGGGCAGTGTCGCAGCAATGCGATCCCCCAGGCGGTCGAAGTTCGAGTTAATGATCGTGAAGACACACTTCATGCTAGAGGTACATGCTTTCACAAGAATGCGATCGTTGTGACCCTTCGCGAGACTAAGGGCCTGTTGCCGAAAGTTCTCCACCACCACCCGTAATAACGACGAAAAGTAGTGGTACACCTCGGGTGTCTTACCCGCCTGCGTACAAATATTCGACACACAACTCGTGGCGGCATACCGAGCTTCAATGTCCACGCCCGACGGATCCAAGTGCTTCAGCAAGACAGCGAACAACAGCTCGAACTCATTGCTTGCTCGATCAGCATTCTCATGCAGCACTTGGCCCAGCGCGCGGATCGAATTGGCCGTATACCAGCTCGGACACGTCTTGATGAACGTCAAAAAGAACGTCATCACCACACGCAGCTGTGCGCTCGAGAAAAGCACGCGTTCCTTGCAGCAGCACTTTTGCACGAGCCGCGTGTACTCCGAGCACAGCAGCCCCGAACTCAAGGGCAACAGCTGCGCCAAGGCTGTAATCAGCAATGCAATCTCCTGCCCATATGAACACCACAACAACAGCCACAACCACACACAGAGCAGCAAAAACACACACCAATTAGCCACTTTGATCTTCCCAAAGATGGCCCACTCTTCAGTACATACGTCACTTCGAATACGAGGATTCGGCAGCGCCACGCCCAGCAGCTGCTTCAGCATCTCCTCCAGCTCCACGAGCGTCAGCTGCTGCACTGCCACATCAGCTTCCACACGCTCGACGATCGTCGTCCAGAGCTTGCGGTCTCGCCGCTGCATGCCAACGTTCCAGCCACCGACAGGCGACGGCGACGTGCCGGTAGCGCTCGTACTCGTGCTCGTCCAGCCGCTGCTGGAGCCAGTGCTTGAGCCGGTGGCGCACGTGACGGGACGCATGCAACTTGTTGGATCGTCTTCGGGTCCGGGTCTCTCGAGCTCTTTTCTGCTAGCCAAACGAAAAGTGACGTCGAAGTTGTGATTCAGTCGCTCGGTCTTCAACGGCGAGAACACGACGAGCAATAGGGGCGGCGCGCGCGCTTAAACTTTGTGGAACTTGACGCGCACGGGCACGGGGAGGAGCGAATGCGCCGCGTCCCGGACGTCTCCGCCGCGTCTCGGACGGCCAGCGCCTACGCGCATGGGACAACTGACCGACGTCGCGTTTGATTGGATGATAATACGACCTCGCGTTCCTAAGAAAAAGAGTGATGGTCACTTTGTTGACTCATGGCTTCCCGAACCGCGACGAGGGCGCAGAAGGACGACGTTGGAGCGCAAGACGCTGCTGCAAAGCGCTGGAAGGAGCATCCAGTGTATGGCACGACCCACACGCGTCTGTTGCCGCCCTCTGCAAATTGGTACTGCTCAAAGGTCCGTCGTGATGTCGTGCGGTCGAATTGAATGCAATTAATTGCGAGTGTCTTGTCGATATTGGGATGAACTTCTTGTTCTTGTCATGATAATTGCTACTGTTATTATTCTAAGTGTCAGTATAATTGTCATTGGGGCTGACTGTCTATCTATCTGTAGATCTGTGACTGGAGCGACAGCGACGTCTTTGGGCTGCTGTTCGCTTTTGGAGCAAAGAACAGTCTCTTCCTTTACCGCGTCGAAAGCAGCACATGGACTGATGGGTCTGCAGTTGCAGGATCAGGAGTGCAAATCTCGTTCTTTGCGCACTTGGTGCGTGGGAAACGCGACCGTCGCGTGACGTCGGTGCAGTTTCTGATGGACACGACGGAGGAGCTGCGTTTGGTGTGCGGCGGAGAAGAAGGCAGCGTGCAGATTTGGTAGGTCAACGCTGGAAAAACAGAGGAGAGGAAATGTATGTGGCAAAAAAAGTGACTATTGATGGATGTGTCGCAGGGACGTGGCGTCGTTGACGTTGATTGAGCAACATCGGAAACACAAGGCGGAAGTGATGGCGATTGCCTCGTCTGCTGCGTTGGACGCCAACTTTGTCGTGGCAGGAGATCGGCAGGGACGGATTAGTGCGTGGAAACGGGATGTGTACGTAGAACTTTATGGTGTTTTATGAGCGAGTGATTGAATTGTGCGACTGGCCAACGAGACTTACCGATGGTGCAATCGTGAATTGGTTGTTGTTATGACGTCTTCAGCGGAAAGGTGTCGATGCTCATGCCAATCTCAGGCGACGCGGTTCACTCGATGGCAATGTCGCCGCATGACAAATCATTAGTTGCTGTGGGGTATCGCAGTGGCAGGCTATGCCTTGTGGACGTGGATAAAGGTATCGTTCGTCACCACCTTGCTGGTCACGACCAAGAAGTTCAATGTGTCGCGTGGAAGCCGACAGTTGGGATTCGTCACGTTATAGAAGAAGAAAAGAAGGTTACTGATGGTGTGCTCTCTTCGTATGAACAAGAAGTGTGGCTGGCTTCTTCATCTCGGGACAAAACGATTAAGGTGTGGAAAGTGTTTCTAAGTGCTGCGGAAGAACCGGGGTTAGATCAGGTGCTTCGGCTTCCAACAGGAAAACAGGGTATGTCATTTTCCCAGACCAAGCAGATCTGGTTGCCAATAGCCTGGAGTTTAAGCTGTCCTCAGAATCCAGCAGTCAAGCATAAGCTGTGGTCAGGGTCTTTCGACGGCAGTTTGTTTTGTTGGGAATGGAATGCATCTGAGACAAACACTCAGGAAAAGAAAGGAAATAGTCGCTGGACACCGTGCAAACCTGTCGTAGTCAAAGGCGGTCATAGTCGAATGCTTTTCAGTATTGAGATGGTAGCTCCCCTCTGTATAGTGCATTGGGACAAAGCAGACCGGTGTTCATGCTCACGGTTTCGCTCAACAGGGAATTGCGACTGTGGAATGAAAATGCGTGCTTGGAATCTCCGGCAGCAGCAACATGTGTCGAGAGGATGACCGGATTAGGTGGTCATGCTTACAGCGTCTCGTATAATGCAGCAACCGGTATTGTAGCCGCAGGTGTTGGGGATCAGACCATTCGGCTTTGGAATGTAGGTACTGAGTCTGCATCGTTATCGAGTGGCTATGAGTGCGATCTGTTGTGGAAAGGGTTGCAGAGTAAAATTACCTGCGTTCAATGGCATCCGTTCCAGCAGTCGTTATTAGCTTACGGCATGGACGACGGGCGCATTGGGATCTACAACGTCCAGGCCAAAACATACAGCTATTTTCGCACAAAGCACGATCATGAGGTGATACAGCTTCAATGGATTATTCAAAAGCCGAAAAAGACTGGTGCCGTAAACGATGTAGAGAGCGTTTTCCTCGCAAGTATCCGACAGCTGGAAGCTGCGCAGGTTGAAGGCCAGAGCCTTGAAGAGGCACTGACCATTCAAGAAGACCAGTCGGGGAAGCTGCTTGATGGGGATGAATCAAAGATTACGCTGTGGAGCTGCGATATTCGTGGTGCTATCCTGGAATCAGACGTCGACAATGTTGGCCGAAAGTCCCGGGAGGTTGCCCTGAATAGCACTGCATTCGATTGGGACGAGCAGTTTGGGCAGGTCGCTATCGGTCAAGCTGATGGTGTTGTGAAGGTGATGGATTGCAATGACATTGCGAACGGTAAAGGCATCGCGACACGTTGCTTTCACGAGCATTTGGAGCCTGTAACGTGTCTATCGTGGGGTAACGGTCTTGGCGGGGCCTTATTAGCCTCTGGAGACCAAGACGGCAAAATATTTATCTACAGCTGTCAAAGATCTTCTGTCTCGCAAGTAAGCGCTACAGCCGTTGCTAACTCAGACGAATATGTGCATGAAGCTAGTCTTCTTGGAACCCTCACAGGTCACTTGAACAAAATCTCCAATTTAAGGTGGTGTGTCAACGAAGGTCAGTCTTTTTTAGCCTCAAGTTCGGCTGATGGAACCGTGCAGGTATGGAATCCAGTGTCCCTACAAAGACGGGCAGTTTTTAGCCACCATGTCGGCCGTGTCCTATCTCTAGAATGGGTATCACCTTACATGCTTATTACAGGCGGCGAGGACCAAACGTTGCGTATTTGGGATTATCGAGACCAACCTAAAGACACGTTGCCCAAACTGAGAAAGCATGACAAGGTAAGGCAGCCTCAAGAGGTGGAAGCATTGCCATGCTCACCATTCGCAGACCGAGCAGCCGTGGAGGCCTGTAGAGCCGATACGGCTGGTCACAAAATGTCGCAACAACCGTATTTGACGGACAAGTGTAACTCGCAGGGTCTGGCTGACGTGCCGACTAGGAAGATGACAACGGGGGTTTTCCATTCGGGAAAAGAAGCTCACTTCAGCCGAAATCGCTTTGGCTTGTCGCATTGTGAGCGGGGTGAAACAGGGTGAGTCTTGCAGACGTGTTACGGATGGCACGGATACACCAACAAACACGTTTCTCGCTCATACGAATCGCGTGGCGCTACGGTGTTTTTTCGATTCGGAAACTGCCCGTTTTCGTGAAGAACAGGAGTGGGAAAGTCTTGCCAACACTTTGCTGTTACAGGGCAGAGTCGCCGACGCCCTACGAATTGTAGCGAAGGCAAACGCTTTGACACCAACTTGGCTTTCGTACGCTCCAGCAGCTGGCATGGATGTATGGCGAGAGATGACGTCCGTGTACGCCCACGAACTCGCAGTTCAGGGCGATAGGAAAGCGGCAGGTTCGTAACTCGCATTCTGCTGATATTGCCCTCACTGTCCGACGCTGATATCCTTGTATTTTGTCGCGCAGCGTTTCACTTCCTTAGTATTGCAAAAGTTCGTTCTGCTGTCGCTTGTTTGGTAAGTGGTGACGCTTATGAGGAGGCTCTAGCGCTTATTCGATCGAAATTGGGACCCGGTGATCCCCTCCTCCACGACACCTTGTGGAAATACGCTGACTTTCTCACCAAGCGCGGTCGTCATGGGAAAGCAGCACTGGCACTTTTAAATATTGGCTCCATCAAGGCAAAGTCGAGGGCAGCTCGTACGCTCGTGAATTCAGGTGACATGACCTGTATTGGTGCTGCCCTCGATGTGCTTCTAGGTGCGGTGGAATGTCAAACGGAATCCGGCGGACTGTGTGATACAGACCGTGAAAACGATGTCACGCACTTTGCGTTCCCAGGGAGCTTTTTTATCTCAATCGCCGGCCAAGCTCTTGTGGAATCTCGGTTTGACATTGCGGAAACTGCAGGACAGCTGCTTCAATCTTCGCTAGTGGGAGGCTTGTCACCAGCATCACATCGGTTAACAGCGTGCCTGCTTGGTATCGTAAGAATCATGCATCAGCATAGGCTAGCTTATTATGTACCCGCCGAAGCGGATGAGACAGCTACGGGTCACCTGACTGACGACCTGCTTCAGTTTGATGCGCCACAATGTGTTCGCGAATTTTTTGGGTTCTTGACAAGGTCACGTGCAGACATCACGGATGATGAAGATCGTCTGTCTGATCAGTTGATAAACGCACACACTTTTCCAGAGCTCCTAAAAGGGACGCGAACGAGGCATTGGTTTGCAAACCGGGCTGACCATTTCTGGCTGCAAATACTGAGTGTTTGTCGGAAGTGTGGATACTGGTTCGATGTCGGTGGGAAAAGTCGTGTTCAGGAAGCTCAGGAAGTTCTAATTGAAGCGAGCTGCTTTAGTGAGATCGAAACAGCTGTGGCAAAACTTGCGCGTAAACCGGGAGATGACATGAATGTGTGGTCGCTACCACTTTGTCAGAAATTGTTACGGTTCGTGGTCGAGGCAATCAGTACAAGTTTCATCGGTGCTTTGGAGCATATGCGAGAGATGTTCTCGTTTTTTGACACAAGGCGAGATAGCAACGCCTTCAAGCAACGCATCGTCAGCTTCTCAAGGATGTCAAGATTACTTCACTGGCGGTGTGCGCCTCGATGTGATGACACTGCTGTATCCACGCGGTCTTGTGTCTCCAAAAGACCTACCACAGTGTGGTGAAATTGTGGAGGGGCAGCTGGATGCACTCATTATATTGAGCTCAGTTTTTCTGTCGCGATGCAGACTGCTTTTGCAAGCAACACCACTTCTTGATAACGTCACAGCCATTGATGAAAAAAAACGTGGGTTCTCTAGTTCCACCGGTATTGCATCAACTTCGCGTGTGGTTCTTACATGACGAAGCAACGGCACCACTTGGTCGACATGTGCTGGATGCTGAGACTCGGTTGCAGTTACAAGCGCTACTCGATGAAGTGTTCGTGGCAGTATGTGGACATACTAGTAGCCGAGAGAAAGACAAAGGCTGCTGTGCTGATGAGCAGCAAGCCGGACTCAATCAAGGTGATGCGTGTCTATTGAGAAAGCAGACTTTGCTCGATGACATCGATGACATCAAACAGCGTCTTACATCGAACGAAGATAGTGGCGAACAGTGATCGGAACTCAACACAGTCATTCCGAATCAATTGCTCGCTAGTCAAAACGCTGCGCTTGCGCATTCGTCGATGAATTCCAGTTCTCGTCTTCGGTATCTGGCCCCGCTTTGCTGGACTCGGTTGTGTCTGCGTGAAGTATCATAAAATTGGACCAAACGCATCATTCTATCGTGCGCTCGTATTTGAGCTTGTCGATATCCTACCGTGCGTGATCTACATGATAGTCGAAGGTCTCTCTGGCATTTTTATTGCTTTCTCTGCAGCGCTGGGTTCCAGTTTTCTCGCTTGTGGCAGTGCATCGTTCTATCCGAATGCTGATTGTTTTTGTAGCTGCAAGGGTCTCGCTTCTTCGCGCCGTGCGTGTGAACCTCCTTATGTGGAATGCATAGGACGATTTCGCGTTTGACCTGGACAAACTTGTGCTCGCCAATCCTCTGATGACAATTTTTAGCATGTCCAGTACCTTTTGTTGTCTTGTTGGAATTTCCAGAAAAAGCTCAGTAGCTCTACATCCGAGTTGCTCACTGTTCTTTCAACCTCCTCTACGGTGCACCGGTACCTATGTTTGTGAGAGATTATCCACGCACCTGAAAATGCTACACGTCCATAATTCATCTTCACTCTTCAACACTCCAACTTGTGAACGGACACGGAAGTATATTTCAAATGCAAGCAAGCCCAGTAAGCTCAGAGCTGGTTCCGCGGGATCGCGCTGCACACCAGCCCTAAGTCTCATCACCTCCATCTCTGACCTGCATCACCAAATCGCCGACAATCACACTGCGCCTCGCCACTAGCTTGCATTCGTGAAGGATTCGTCCCCCATACCACCATCGACACTTCCAGCGTCGATACTAGCTGCGTATTTACTGGCAAGCTCCAGGTCAGCCTTCAGCTGCTCCATACCCGAGGAAAGCAGCTTCCACAGATCTGGCGCTGGGCCTTGTTCTCCCGCTGCCAACTCGTCATCTTCTGGAAGATCCGTGTACTGCGACAACTGCTGCGTTAGACGACAAGCACGCGCCGACAGCACATTGTTTTCGGCCTGCAGCTCAGCAAGCTTCACGCGGAACTCATCGAGCGCGTTGGTCTCCTCAAAGCGCGTCCGGGCCAAGTGCGCCAACTCGTCTCGAAGCAATTCATTTTCGTGCGCGATACGGTCAATCTCGTCACGCGCTTCCTGCTCCACGTGGCGGGTGAACTCCCGTACACGGCTGATCTTGTCCTCGCTGTCACGGGACAGCTCGTCGCAGTATGCCTTGGATTTCTGCAACAAGTCATTCAAGTCCCGGTTCGTCTCCTCCAGTCTCTGGTGCATGTGCTTGTGCTCATCCAGCTGCTCACGCAAATGTGCTATTTCTTCGTTGGAACCGCGCAACTGGTCAATTTTCGCTTCTAACGACGCTTTTTCTTGCGTAGTCGCATGCAATTGCGCGCGCACCTGCTCCAGATCATACCGAGAGCGGTCTACCATCGTCTTTACCTCACTATGAGCTTGACGAAGGTGCTCACATTCAGCATTGAGCTGTGCTAACCTCTGCTCGGAACTCTGCCTGTCTGCTTTAAAGCGACTGACAAGATCCTCGAGTTGCGCCATGTCCTTCTGGCTGCGTAGGGTTACAGCAGCAATCTCAGTGTCCTTATCACGAAGTGCCTGAGTAGCCTCTGCGAGCTGACCCTCGACGTCGGCATTTGCCACTTTAAGCTTCTCAAGTTGACCGCGAACTACCGTCTGCTGGTTGTCGGCTTCGTCTCGCATACTTTGAATCTCGGACACCAACGATAGGTTCTTCTTCGCCAGTGACTCGACGTGCCTCTGTAGGTCACCATGCTCTGCACGCATCGCGTTAAGCTGCTGCTCGGTTTGCATCACCTTGGCACGAGCCTGCTCCAATGAGTGCGTCAGATCATCATTTGAGCGCTGCAGCTCGCTTGCCGAAGACTGTGTGGAGGTCAGCTGCGCTGCTGCCTGTTCATACAATGCCTTCAGTGTCTTGTATTCTTCGTTAGCAGCGACGCGCTCCGAGCACACTGTCTGCAGTTCCGCGGCAACCTCGTCCTTTGAGTGTACCGCATCCTGCAACTGTTGAGTCAGAGACTGCTCCAGATCGTGAAAGTGACGTATCTTTAGTTCCAGGCTTGCGATTTCATTCTGGGCACGATCGAGCTCCTCGCGAGGAACAGACGACTGCTTGACTGTCTCAACTTCCTGTTGGAGGCTCTTGCACTTCTCCTGCTCAGCTCGCATTTGTATTTGAGTCTTTTCCAACTCCTCCATGGTAGATTCCAAGCTCGATTGGAGCTCAAAGGAACTGTCCATATTCTCCTGCGCCATCTCCTGTAAGTTCCGAAGCTGTTGCTCTAGTGTCCTCTTCTCATTCATGTGGTTGTCTACATGGCCTTCCAGCTCCTGAACTCTCAGCTGTAAATCGTTGACAAAAGGATGAGAACGAGCCAACTCCGCGACCAGTTCACTTTTTTCCGATTGGACCTGATTGAGCTCATTCTGAGCCGCAGCGGCACGCTCGTCGCTCGCCGACGCAGCATCAGCGATCTCCCTCAGTTCGACTAGCTCGCGCTTAAGTTCTGAGTTGGTAGCTTCGGCTTCGACAAGACTCTTCTGCGCCTGTACTAACGCACCATGAGTTTGCTGCAATTGGCTCGTGGTGTCGCGCAAGTGCTCAACACTGCCAGACAGCGCGGCGTTTGCTATGCGAAGTTCTGCCAGCTCCTGGTCCTTTGTAAAAAGTGCTTGGTCCTTCTCGACAGCGCTTACCTCTAAAGAGCGAAGCGAATCCAGCTCCTGCCTCAGATTGCTTAGCGCAGCTTCGTCGACTTGCTTGACTTCAACCAGAGCGTCGTGTGCAGAACGAAGGCGATTAAATTCAGTCGATAGGGCACTATAATTCCGCTCCAAATTCGACACGTGCTCTGCCTTCTCGTTCGCAGCATGCTGAGCTTCCTGTAACTCCTGCTCTAGCGCTGCACCGCGTTCCTCCATCGAGTGTCTCATAAGATCTGCGCTTTCGTGCTCATCGTCGCCTTCTGACTGCACCGAAGACAGCATTTGGTACTGCTCTTCCAGCCAAGCGTTGCGGTTGTTCAAGTGCAGATTCAGCTCCATGGACTCGGTCAACTCGCGTTGAGCAGTCGCAACCTGCTCCGTTAGCACACCAATAGCGCCTTCGCCACCTTCGACCACCACAAACTTGTCGTCGTCCTCTCCTGAACCTGCTTCATCGACAACAGCGCGGCTCTCTATCCCCGTCTGCAGCTTCGCAATCTGATTGTCCTTCCGACCGAGTTCTCCCTGTAGCTCTTCAAGCTGGCTTTCTAGCTCGCTCACCTTGGCTTGTAGATGACTTTGACCTGACAACGCATTTTCTCGAAACTCCGCCTGCTTGGTCATAGCTGCAGCAGACGCGAGTGCAATCTGCTGCTTCAACTCCTCATTCGTCTTCCACAGCTCCACACAGTCGTGTTTATAATCTTCCAACTCTTGCGCCTTTTCAACGGCAAGTGCTTCTTGTTCCTGTGCGCGCTTCTCCAGAATCTCCAGCTTCTGTCGGTCGTCATCTAGCACTTGGTGCATCGTCTGCTCCCGTTCACAAGCAACTTTATCCAACTCTCGTTGCAGCTGTTCAAGTTCTTTCGCGTACACCTCATTTTGAGACAAAACCTCCACCAGTTTTTGTTGCACCTCCGCCTTTGTAGCTTCGACTGCATTCAGAGTGTGCTCCTTCTCGACCAAGGATGCTTCAAATCCTGCTTTCTGCTCCGTGGCTTTCTGCAGTGCCAGCTCTTTCTCCTTCAGCTGCTTTTCAACATCGTTTGTCTGCTTCACATACTTTTCTCGAGCTTCATCAATGTGCTTATCCTTTGCCTTCAAAGCACTCTTCAGCTCTTTCAACTCTTTCTCCTTTTCGTGAAGCTCCACCTCCAACTGTTTCTTCACATCAGCTAGCGCGTCGCTACACAACAAAAGCAGCACCAAAAAACAACAGCATGAGCCTCACAAACGCCCTCTCTTTCTCTCTGTAAAACAAAGACGCAATGCACAAAAGCACGCCGCACCGCATATCCGTGATATCCTGCACTTTCTCCATGAGCATAGGTTCCGACGTAAACTCGACTTTGTACTGCAGCTGCACGTTCTGATCTTTCACATCCTCCACCTGCTGCTTCAGCTGCTCAATCTGCGCCACCAACGACGCTCTCTCCTTCACCATCTACAACAATAACAACAACAACAGAACAACAGCAACAACACAAAAAGACAGCCCACATCAACCACAACCCCCAAAAAGGTGAGACAAACCCAACACTCGCCACGACCACAACCCCTCCCTCTCCCTCCTTCTCTATCTTTCAGCATACATCCCCATCATCTTCCACAACAAACTCACTTGATCCACCAGCGTCTTCTTCTCAAACTCGTGCTGTCCCACTTTCACCATCAAGTTGTTCAGTCGCTTCAGGAGCATGGCCATAGCCGAGTCCTTGCTCTCCTCTCGTCGATTCCCATAATTTTCTCCAATTGGAGCGCTCACGTGTGCATCTGGAGCGGCCACAAGAGGCTCAGGAGACGCCACGGGCGTCACGGGCGCTGTCGGAGCCTCGGGCGACAGCGCGCGCGTCTTGACGGCGGAAGTAGCAGCAGCTGCATCCGCTGGTTCGTTTTCTGCCTCTTCGTGGTCGCCAAAGAGCACGGTCCACATGATTGTAGCCACTTCGCTGCGCACGATCAAGCGCTGGCCGAAGGAGTGACGTTCGTTGTTTACAATGCGAGGAAGGTGGGGAGGACGGCGGGGACGGGGTGAAACCCACTCGCGTGAGGACTTGTCATGTATGCTGGATGACAGGATGACGCGGTGGTCCACGTCATGCGCGAGTGACTGGCAGTTTGTGTTTCCTACAAAGTGCTTTTTTATACGTTCGAATTGGCGAATGAATGTCCGCATGTACTGATATACGTCAACAAGGACGTGGGCGAGAGTGTACCAGAACAGCGGCACACTTGGGGCCTGCGCAGAACCAACCAAAGCGAGGAGCTACATCCGTCTCCACGCTTTGCGCCCGCCATCACTCGTTGATCGCCTGTTGACGCAGCGGTAACTCGGTCGAGCCCAGCAAGCCCCAAATGGTCGTCTACAACTTTAAGAAGATCCAGACCGTGCCCACAGCCAATGACTTTATCGACATTGTGCTCACGCGCACGCAGCGCAAGACGCCGACGGTGATCCACCCGACGTATGCCATCTCGCGGATCCGAGCGTTTTACATGCGCAAGGTCAAGTTCACGCAGCAGACGTGCCAGGAGAAGCTCAGCCAGATCATTGACGACTTTCCTCGCTTGGACGACCTCCATCCTTTCTACGCTGACTTGATCAATATCTTGTACGACCGCGACCACTACAAACTCGCGCTGGGTCAAGTGAACACGGCACGAGCTCTGATCGACAACATTGCCAAGGATTATGTACGCATGATCAAGTACGGCGACTCGCTCTACCGCTGCAAGCAGCTCAAGCGCGCTGCACTGGGTCGGATGTGCACGCTCCTCAAGAAGCAAAAAGCGTCGCTCGAGTACCTTGAAGAGGTGCGCAAACACTTGTCGCGACTACCATCTATTGATCCAAACACACGGACGCTGCTGATTACAGGCTTCCCGAATGTCGGCAAGTCGAGCTTTATGAACAAAGTCACGCGGGCTGACGTGGACGTGCAGCCTTATGCGTTTACGACCAAGGCGCTGTATGTTGGTCACCTCGACTACAAGTACCTGCGTTGGCAGGTGATTGATACTCCAGGTATCCTTGACCACGCTCTCGAGGACCGGAATACGATCGAGATGCAGGCCGTCACAGCGCTGGCGCACTTGCAAGCGTCCGTCTTGTTCTTCATGGACATCTCTGAGCAGTGTGGCTTTACGATTGAGCAGCAGCTGAGTTTGTTTGAGAACATCCGACCGCTTTTTGCCAACAAACCGCTCGTGCTTGTGTGCAACAAGATCGATCAAATGCGTTTTGATGCGTTGTCCGACGATCATCAAAGTATGATAAACACGGCCGTGGAAGAGACAAAGGCCAAGTTCTTTACAATGTCGAACCACTCGGAGGAGAATGTCATGGAGGTCAGGAACTACGCGTGTGATGAGCTGCTGACGCACCGTGTGAACTCCAAGGTCAAGGGCAACAAGGTGGCCGATGTGCTGAACCGTCTCAGCGTAGCCATGCCGGTAGCTCGTGATGATGTGCAGCGTGAGATTACCATTCCAGCAAGTGTCCTTGCAGCACGCGAGAAGCCAAACAGCGTGACGCCGCGTACTCTGTTGAAAGACAAGATGAACGCGAATGGTGGTGCTGGAGTGTACTCTTTCAACTACAAGGAGCACTACAGCGGTATGCTTCGCAACGAAGACTGGACCAAGGACGCTATTCCTGAGATCTGGAATGGCAAGAATATTGCCGACTTTGTGGATCCAGAGATTCTGAAGCGCCTTGACGCCCTAGAGCGGGAGGAAGATGAGGCCATGGCAAGTAATGTTCCTATGGACGAGGACGAAGAAATGAGTGACCTTGACGACGAGCAGAAGGACAAGGTCGCTCGCATTCGCGAGAAGAAGGCCATCATTGTCGCTGCGCACCGTCAAAATAAGAACAAGAACCACTCAAGTGTTGCTCGGAAAGTGCTGGCCAAGCGTCGCACACTGACCGACACGAAAAAGGAGCTTGAGGCTCTTGGCGTGGACACAAGTCACATGAAGCACGCCGAAGCAGTCGTGGCGAAGCGAAAAGCCGACGACGAAAGTCGTGGCCGTAAGCGCAACCGCGAAGACATGGATGTGGACATGGAGGACGCGACCGAATCCTCTGACTTTCGTGTGCGTGCTCGAGCCAAGTCAGCACAGCGCTCCAAATCCAAGAATCGCTCCCAGTCTCTTGTTGCGCCGCGTGACAAGTCGGGTTTCGGTGACGATGCCTCCATGGCTGCAGTCAAGTATGCTACAAGACTCACACAGCGCAAGGCTGCCAAGATGGGTCGTGCCGGCGAGGCAGACCGGATATCAGTTCCAAAGCTGGCGAAGTGGCAGAACTCGGGCAAGCGTGGCCATGGCAGCACGAATTCCCGTTAAGCTTGGACAAGGGATCGTTTCCTCAATGGCTGTGCGGTTAGAGGCTGCAATGGAGAGACAGAGGAGAAGAACCTATGTTCTCGGTAGCGTTTTGTACTCTCCGCGTTCCTTCTGAATACATTCTCATTTTCTTAGGCGATCCGCCTTGACGAGGCATCTTGTCTGCTGCCTTCGCATAACCGAAGTCATCGTCAAGATGCCTTGGAGAAAAGCATGTCCTCGCACTTACCATGGTGCCAACTCGATGAAGGCTGACTTCAGGCTAGAAGGTTTGACATTAACAACCACGATCATAACCTTTCACTCACCAGCGTCCTGTTCAGCTCAAGAGGATTTGAGCAGTTTGCATCTCTTTCCACCTTCGACAGCGCTAAATCTCCCTTACTAAACTGCAAGCGTACAGAGCATAGTCGCATATAGTACGCACTATGTGACCTCTCGTCAGTAGGTTCATGAGACTATGCGTACAGCTTTCCAGCTTTGGCGTTGTCTTTGCAGTTAATGATCAAGTGTTATACAGGCTTAATAGACTATCCGACCAAAAGCTGATCCTTCGAATTGAAACGCAGTTGCAGCGTGTCGGCCAGTGGAACAAGGTGAGCCCGTTGCATACTATTACTTCCTGTTTCGAACAAACGAGTTAGCGGAGGTTGGCCTTCTACTGTACAATTTTGCCTATGCGCTTTGTGTAAATGTCTATCCGGCTAACGCCTAACTTTAACAAGTTTTTAGTTGCGACTTCGTGTGTGTGCGTATGTTAGAAAGTTGTGTTCATAGTTGGACTCGTGCAGTTGTCAGATCTGAAATTTTACCCAACTTGTAGCGGGGCACCCTGAAGCTTGTACTGATGACAGTACAAGCTACTTATTCTGAAGACAGAATAAGGCGGTGCCGCGTAACCTCACGTACACTCGTACGTGCAGAGGAAGACGGTAAGAAGAAGCGAGTACTTGGTTAAAGTAAAAAGTAGAACTGTATTTAGTATAGTTAATGTCTGTTATTAAACCACTGTTTATCCTCATCTAACTATGTCTGAATACAAATGTGTAAATCAACTATTGTTCACCACTCATCGAGTGCGTCTGTCGTGGCGCGTCTTCGTTGGTTGATATAATGGTCTGTATCAACCAATTAGGAACTACTCGTAAGTGCTACAGAATACTTGTCCTTATGACAATATTCTGAGAATGTAACTCTTAAAGTTATATTCTATTAACAATTTCTAATAAATTGTTATGTAACGTTTCACCCCGTTACATCACCCCCCCCCCTTAACCATCAGTCACTTTAGTGACTGATTGACTAAATGGACACTCGTCCCAATTCATTTGAGACGGGGTTTGCACTTGTTGGTCCGAGCCCACAGTCCATTGATTTCATCGCATGGTAAACAAGCCCATGCGGTGCGCGAACAAGGCAGCTGAGAGCGCGTCTGCACGTCTCTGTGCAGACGCCGAAGCAGAAACCGCTGCAACAGATGTGTCATCGGTTGCTAAAGCTTCTCAGCTTGTATCACTTGGTGATGCAGACGCTCGTCATGAAGACACTTATGTATTCAAAGAGTATGAGATCGGTGTCTCATACTCTTCTAATACGGAAGACGGATCCGTATCGAAGGCGATCGAATCCAAGCCGCCTGCCAAGCGTGGCACGGATGATGCTACGCGTCGTAGCATCTTTGGTTCGTCTGACGAATCAGATGAACCATCGCCAAAGCGAAGACGCTCGAGATCGCAAGACTCGGGCGCTCACAGTGGTGTCGGTTCTCCAATTGACACCACTTCGCAGCGAGGTGCCAGTACTTCTGTCGGCACGTCGCGGAAGAGCGGGACCGCAGTGTGTTGCGTCTCGCTCCTGAAAAAGAAAGCATGGCTGCCTCCAATGTCAGTCATGGATCGCTTTTCGGCGACGACAAGTGATCGCTATCGAGCACGATTGTTCGATTCATCCATCACCTTGACCCCAGTGCGAAAGACTATCGCACTGAGCATGAGTTCTTCATCGATGCTTTCTTTAACCATTGATGGTACAGTGGGAATCACAAACGTGATGGTCCCTCACTGCTTATAGCGTGGAATGCTTACATCCATAACCTTGAGGATGTAGGTCGTGACGTTTGGAACGACAAACTTATCAAAGCTCGTGATAAGTTTGAGAAGAGAACCCCGACAGGTGCACGCTATAAGCTGCATCGTCTTTCTAAGGAGGGTGGGTTACCCTACCTTTTCTGGGGAGACCTATGTCCTTGTTGTGTAAGCAACTCAGCGCGCGCACCTTAGGAGGCTTACCTCCTTACTAGCCTGTGGTGGCGCGTACGTGTCTCTACTGAGATGTACGAAGGGATTGACAACCTGAAATCCCTTTACGATCGTGCCGGGAAGACTTTCTCCGGCGGTCCTTCTGCGGCACAGGATGTGCCGCGTCGTACTGCTCGACCAGACCCAGTACGTCAACCATCAGTTGGGAGCGGGGCTCCCAAGTATCCCAGGACGGGGGATAGCCGCGCCACCGGACGAGGTAACTCGTCCGACGTCCGTTCACGTCGCGGTGGTTCAACAGATGCTCAACTAGATAGCGCTGGCCACCGCGAGAGTCCTCCAATGGATGTGGAGGAGGAGGAAAGACGCTCTCCAAACTATCGTGGGTATACGTGTGTTCCCGAGGGCCTCTTTGATCGCGTAACTCTTGCGTTACGCGACGACCTCGAGCATAAGCGGGACAGGCGTCTCCAAATGGTGGACACTGTCTTAAAGCATCGAGCTGAGTTTGCCTTTGCTCAGCTCGAGAACGAGAGAGCTCTGACATCTCTGCGTGACGAGCTAAGGGTAGCTCGTGGGATTGTTGATCGGTCTCGGGCTGAGATAACTGCTCTTCAGACCCTTGTTGATATCCACCATCGGGAGCACTAAGCTCTCTGTGAGATGCTTGAGCGCAAGGGCGTTCTTCATCGGAAGAAGCAGCGTACTGATGGTACGGCTTAATCCGACCAACGTAAAACGTGGGATGCGTTCGCATCTTACGTGGCAACTCGATCGTGTATGCATTGCCTAGGCGGTGCAATACACGAAATGGAACGATGTACTTGGGTAGTAGTTTACTGCTACCCAAGTTAGTCACTACATGCTTTGGTAGATTAACCGTAGACAGTAGGACTAAGTCACCTTTACTAAATAAAAGAGTGTTTGCCCTTCCATTCTTGTCAGCGTTTTGCTTTTGCTTATCCACCGCTTCGGCGATGGAGCCTTGCACAAAACGGACTACCGTTTCACGAGCCAGTATGAACTCATCTGATGACTCGTTAGCTTCAGTGTGCTGTGAGCGCACTGCAGCAACATCAACCTTTTCTTCAGTGAGGGCTTCCGCACTCTCACTTGGATCATCTTCTTCAGTGAGGGCTTCCGCACTCTCACTGGGATCATTGTCTTCAGTGAGGGCTTCCGCACTCTCACTGGCATCATCTTCTTCGATATCGATGTTATCGATATCGGCATCAAACGCAATGACTTCTTCGTCAGAGCGTGATGAGCGTGAACCAAATCGGTTTTTGCTCGCGCTAGTCCCCCTCCCCTTAAACCAGAGTTACACTCTAGTAAGGTGGGTACACGCGGATGGCGTAAGCCATTCACGTAAAACGGTGTATGTGTCGTGGACGCATGCACCGAGTTGTTAATGGCAAACTCTACCATTGGCAAAAACTCACTCCAACTCTTAAAGGAGTGTACGTATCCTCGAAGTATCTCTTCGAGGACACGATTGGCACGTTCCGTCTGACCATCGGACTCTGGATAATCAGGTGTCGACATCTTCAAGCGCGTTCCGAGTGATTTGAACACGGAAAGCCAGAAATCAGCAGTGAATCGTGGATATCTGTCTGAGACGAGTTCACGGGGCAACCCATGAAGTCTGAAGATGGTGTCAATAAAGACACAAGCACAGCCACTTGCCGTGATTGTCTCTGGTACAGCCACAAGGTGTACCATTTTGCTGAATCTGTCAACAAATACGAGAATACCCGTATTCCCGCGTGCGTTTTTGGGTAACCCGAAGACAAAATTCATTGAGATGGATTCCCAGCACTCAGCCGGAACCGGTAGAGGCTGTAAAGGTGCACGCAGTGAAGGACTTGACTTCACTCGTTGACAGACTTCTCATGCGCGAACATACTTTCGCACAAATTGATACTGGCGGGGCCAGTAAAAGTCTCGACTCAACGTGAGATATGTTTTCTCTCGGCCACGATGTCCTCCTATAGAAGCGTCGCGATACTCGAACATGATCCGCAAACGCAGATCGGTATCATCTGGAATGACAACACGTGGTGTGTCACCAGAAACGGCTGTATAATACAGTAAACCGTTACGAGTAGTGTATCGATCTGATGCAGATCGATACGCAGGCGACAATCTTTTCAACGATTCTCGAGATGGTTGGGAGAGATGTGACAACAACTTCACTATCTCACCATCTTGGGCGTATGCCCGCCTCACATCATCATACAACGTTGTAGATGGGACTGAGGACGTCATAACCGCAACAGTGACTGTCTCACTGTTGGGTTTCGCGACTGTTTCATAGTCGGGACGACGTGAGAGTGCATCAGCGACGACATTAAGTCGTCCTGGTTTGTACTCGACCGTAAAGTTGTATTCCGCAAAGAATGACAACCACCGCGCCATTCGTTGCGAAAGGTGCAGACTGTTCACTGCCGTGCGTAATGACGCATGGTCAGTGTAAACAACGAAGGGTCTATCTCCTAATAGGTAGAATCTGAACTTCGCGAGTGCATACTTCATGGCAAGGAGTTCCTTGTCATGCACTGAATAGTTCCGCTCAGCTGGTTGCAGCTGACGCGACTGATAGCAGACGACGCGCTCAACGCCGAATGATTCGTACTGCATTAACGCGCAGCCGATTGCAAAATCGCTGGCGTCACAGACCACATGAAATGGCCTGTCCTGATCGGCTATTGCTAGGACTGGGGATTGTATCAAGCTCTGCTTGATACCCTCAAAGGAGCGCTGACATTCAGCGTTCCACAACCACCTCTCGTTCTTTTTCAACAAACGAGAGAGGTGTACAGTCATCTCGGCGTAATTGCGTGAATGCTTATGCAAATACGCCGCTAGCCCAAGGACTTTTCGAAGACCTTTGACATCAACCGGCACAGGCCAGTCGGTGATCGCCTTGATCTTTTCGGGATCAGGACGTACACCGTTCTTACCAACGATGCACCCAAGAAGTGGTATTTCGCTTGCTGCAAATATACACTTCTTGAGGTTAGCATACAATTGATGCTTTCGCATGATTGTAAGAACTTGTCGGACGTGGTACCTGTGAACCTCAACGTCCGACTTTCCATCCATAGCTCGACTATGGATGAATACGTCATCGAAATAACTCGGTGCGAATTCTCGTACTGTTCTCAACAGATGTGATACACATCTGTTTAACCTGGCAGGGGCATTACTAAGCCCTTGTGGCATTACTAGCCATTCCCAGAGCATGCCGCTAGGCGTGCTAACTGCGGTATAGGGTATATCCCGTTCCCGCAAAAGGATTTGATAGAAGCTATCCATCAAATCCATGGACGAAAAGATGGTACTCTTTGACATACCATCAATGATTACGTCCTTCCTCGGTATCGGCGTCGGAGCCGGTACCGTTGCAGCGTTCAATTTGTTGAACGCGTGCACTATCCGCCACCCTCCTGTTGCTTTTCGCACACAGAAGGTCGGAGAGCTATGTGGGGAAGTTGATTCCCTCACATGGCCCGCAGCTAAACGATCGGCAAAGAACTTGTCGATCGCAAGTACTTTTTCACGAGGCAGTGGCCACTGCTTCATGACACAGTACTTCGAGCCTGGTTTAAGCTCGACTTCGTGTCGAATACCTTTATCCTTCGGTAATTCGCACGGAACAGTTTCAGGGAATACATCCTTGAATTCAACCAAATCTTCATAGAGAGGATTTTTCTTGAGCGATTCCCATGATTGGGAGTCATATCGCTCAATTCGTGTCTTTTCATCTAGGACACTCTCGTCCATAGATGAACTACTGAGAACTCTCTCGTTCTCAGTGAACACTGTTGCTGACCTTATGTCGGCTACGCACTCGTCGTCAGCGACGAGTATGCAGATCTGCTTGACTTTGCCACTACGCAGATCACGCAAGAACCTTTTACGTTCGAGCGTTGGCAACTGAGTGATCTCCGAAGTTAACTTCGGAGGCGCAATCAGATCAAGTGTATAAGCGCCTACACATGATCCGTTATTGACTATGACATTCAATGTCTCTGTCATTTCCTGGGGACTTATTCCCTCAGGCTTCGAAGGACTTATTCCTTCGTCTTCCCGGGGACTTATTCCCTCGGGTTTCGGGGAACTTATTTCCGCCGTATTTGTAATCTTGGGACTTATTCCCTTTACTTCCTCTAGCTGGGGTTGCGCAACCACAGCGAGATCCTCTACGAAAGACTCTCCAGTCGATCTAGGATTATCGTTTCGCTTAACCTGAGCGATCGATTGTTTCTCTTCTAGATGTTCCCCTCTAGGGATACATCTTTGTCCCGGTCCACTCGACTTATTCGAGTGGTGGACCTTCGGCACAGCCTGTGTTCCCTCACAGCCGCCGGAAGCTTGCTCCGAAGTGTAACTGTTTGTTACACTAAGGTTTCGTGCAGTCGTACTAACGACCGTACCACAAGTGAGGCCATCGCACTCACTCGTAGTACATCCACACGCTTGTGGACGCTCCAAAACGTTCATCAGATGGCCATCTTTTGAACAAGCGGCAGGCATTGTTTACTGTTCGATGTTGCCAGCTAACCCATGGCTGGTACCTTTTAAGCCACGGTATTCCAAGGATGACATCAAATTTGTCATCCAAATCCAATCCTATAGAGTCATCGTCATATTGGGTATCTTCTAGCGTATAGTGGATCTTCACTATACGCTTCATGACGGCTACGGATGCGCCTGTCGCAAGACGTACCATCATCCTCGTAGGAGGTGTGTCACATTCACTGAATTTAAAGTGACCATCTTCTAGCGATTGGTGTCGCACAAATTGTTGGACGCCCCACAATCGACTAGAGCTCGAAGGGACAACTTATTCGTCACTTCGGGTTTCAAGGTAATGAGTGAGATCTCATTACCTAGAGCAGCAACGCACAACGTCTGTGTGTTGGGAGCAACCTTCATCAAGAGGCCTACAAATTCTCTTGACGTTGCTGGATCAGTAGGGTGCTCCGCACCTACTGATCCTGTCCGTTTTTTGACGGTCCATCCCGTTGTTGCGTCTTTGCACCAACTGCGGACCCTCGTCCCTGCCCCTTTCTCATGGGTGGACGGTCACTACGCCCAGTGTCGCGAGACACTGGACGAGGGGCACTACACTCGTAAGCGTAGTGTCCTGTCTTTTGACATCTGTTGCATCTCTGCAACTTCTTGTAGCCTGTAGAGCGATCCTTCTCGCTCTCTACATAACAGAGTACCATCGGCTCTGGACCTCCGTTGTCATATCGTCTCGGTTGACGATATTATGTCGAGCTGGCGCGAGCCTGTCTCAGACTGAAGTCTTCCTGCTCCGCAATGGAAATGGCTTGTTCTAGTGAATCTAGTTCAAGCCGGAACAGGTGAGTCTTGACGGGATCATCCGCAAGACCCTGCATGAACACCGAAACCAACGTGTGTTCATCAACCGGGTTGGAACTTACACAACTCTTGATATGTCGTAAATGTTGCGCGTAAGCGTGCACATCACGCTTACCCACTTGAGCTTCAAGAGTTCAATTCGAGCTATGAACTCAGATGTAGGCGGTTCAAACATTTGTCTGATCCGCGACTTGAAGACTGTCAACGACCCAAACGCATATGGGTCGTGCAACTTGAGCCCCAAAGCCCAAGTCTTGGCACGTCCTGCCAGATTTGACTGGGCAAATGCAACTTGCACATCCCCATCGTCGATGCAACGCGCCCTTATGGCGTCGTCTAATTCGACAAACCGTCTCAAGAGGGAGTCCTCTTCGACTCCCCTATACTTGGAGATGTAAATCTTCAAGGTCTCGGGTCGACGCGAGTGCATCGACCCACCAGCAGCAGCCTGCTGCTGTCTCAACAGTTCAAATATTGAGCACCCTGTTCTCTCAACAACTCTGATTGTTGAGAACCTTGTTGGTGAAGCAAGGCTACTTTCTCGCGTTCTGCGTCAAGTTCATTTTGAATGAACTTGGCGATAGTAGCATGTTGGGCATCTCTATTGAGAGCCTCTAGCATGACGCTAACAGCATGGATGCCCATGGTCGAACCCATTCGTTCAACCGCATCCCATTCGACATCGCTCAATTGGGAGTAGCCGTCACGCGTAGCGTGAAAGCTTTGGTCATCTTCATCATCCAACATATTCATGTTGGATGTGAACGCGGTCCTTGGACGGACTACGAAGTGCTACCAGGTGTAACGGGGCACCCTGAAGCTTGTACTGGTGACAGTACAAGCTACTTATTCTGATAACAGAATAAGGCGGTGCCTCGTAACTTCACGTACACTCGTACGTGCAGAGGAAGACGGTAAGAAGAAGCGAGTACTTAGTTTAAGTAAAAAGTAGAACTGTATTTAGTATAGTTAATGTCTGCAATAAACCACTGTTTATCCTCATCTAACTATTTCTGAATACAAATGTGTAAATCAGTTATCTGCTCACCACTCATTGCGTGCGTCTGTCGTGGCGCGTCTCTTCGTTGGTTGATATAATGGTCTGTATCAACCAATTAGGAACTACTCGTAAGTGCTACAGAATACTTGTCCTTATGACAATATTCTGAGAATATAACTCTTATAGTTATATTCTATTAACAATTTCTTATTAATTGTTATGTAAAGGTTCACCCCATTACAGCTCTTATTTTAGACTTAAGTAGCATGTTCCATTCTCATGTGAATTGGTCAAATCTATCCAGATGTCAAAGCTTTTGCTGCTTGGCGAAGCTGGTTTTGCCTCTATGCCAGCGGTTAACAAGTCACTTGTTGTCTGAAAAGATTAGGAAAGAGCCAAATTTAGTAGAAAGTAGAACCGTGAATACATTGAATTGGGTTCTGTTTTCGTTTACTCTATCTGTAACGGGGTGAATCGTCACATAACAATTTATAAGAAATTGTTAATAGAATATAACTATAAGAGTTATATTCTCAGAATATTGTCATAAGGACAAGTATTCTGTAGCACTTACGAGTAGTTCCTAATTGGTTGATACAGACCATTATATCAACCAACGAAGAGACGCGCCACGACAGACGCACGCAATGTGTGGTGAGCAGATAACTGATTTACACATTTGTATTCAGAAATAGTTAGATGAGGATAAACAGTGGTTTATTAACAGACATTAACTATACTAAATACAGTTCTACTTTTTACTTAAACTAAGTACTCGCTTCTTCTTACCGTCTTCCTCTGCACGTACGAGTGTACGTGAAGTTACGAGGCACCGCCTTATTCTGTTATCAGAATAAGTAGCTTGTACTGTCACCAGTACAAGCTTCAGGGTGCCCCGTTACACCTGGTAGCACTTCGTAGTCCGTCCAAGGACCGCGTTCACATCCAACATGAATATGTTGGATGATGAAGATGACCAAAGCTTTCACGCTACGCGTGACGGCTACTCCCAATTGAGCGATGTCGAATGGGATGCGGTTGAACGAATGGGTTCGACCATGGGCATCCATGCTGTTAGCGTCATGCTAGAGGCTCTCAATAGAGATGCCCAACATGCTACTATCGCCAAGTTCATCCAAAATGAACTTGACGCTGAACGCGAGAAAGTAGCCTTGCTTCACCAACAAGGTTCTCAACAAGCAGAGTTGTTGAGAGAACAAGGTGCTCAACAGTTTGAACTGTTGAGACAGCAGCAGGCTGCTGCTGGCGGGTCGATGCACTCGCGTCGGCCCGAGACTTTGAAGATTGACATCTCCAAGTATAGAGGGGTCGAAGAAGACTCCCTCTTGAGATGGTTCGTCGAATTGGATGACGCCATAAGGGCGCGTCGCATCGACGACGGGGATATGCAAGTTGCATTTGCCCAGTCAAATCTGGCAGGACGTGCCAAGACTTGGGCACTGGGGCTCAAGCTGCACGACCCATATGCGTTTGGGTCGTTGACAGTCTTCAAGTCGCGGCTCAGACAAACGTTTGAACCGCCTAGAGCTGAGTTCAGGGCTCGAACCGAACTCTTGAAGCTCAAGCAGGGTAAGCGTGATGTGCACGCTTACGCTCAACATATACGACATCTTACGCGTTGTATAAGTTCCAATCCAGTGGATGAACACACGTTGGTTTCGGTGTTCATGCAGGGTCTTGCGGATGGTCCCGTCAAGACTCACCTGTTCCGGCTTGAACTAGATTCACTAGAACAAGCCATTTCCATTGCGGAGCAGGAAGACTTCAGTCTGAGACAGGCTCGCGCCAGCTCGACATAATATCGTCAACCGAGACGATATGACAACGGAGGTCCAGAGCCGATGGTACTCTGTTATGTAGAGAGCGAGAAGGATCGCTCTACAGGCTACAAGAAGTTGCAGAGATGAAACAGATGTCAAAAGACAGGACACTACGCTTACGAGTGTAGTGACCGTCCACCCATGAGAAAGGGGCAGGGACGAGGGTCCGCAGTTGGTGCAAAGACGCAACAACGGGATGGACCGTCAAAAAACGGACAGGATCAGTAGGTGCGGAGCACCCTACTGATCCAGCAACGTCAAGAGAATTTGTAGGCCTCTTGATGAAGGTTGCTCCCAACACACAGACGTTTTGCGTTGCTGCTCTAGGTAATGAGATCTCACTCATTACCTTGAAACCCGAAGTGACGAATAAGTTGTCCCTTCGAGCTCTAGTCGATTGTGGGGCGTCCAACAATTTGTGCGACACCAATCGCTAGAAGATGGTCACTTTAAATTCAGTGAATGTGACACACCTCCTACGAGGATGATGGTACGTCTTGCGACAGGCGCATCCGTAGCCGTCATGAAGCGTATAGTGAAGATCCACTATACGCTAGAAGATACCCAATATGACGATGACTCTATAGGATTGGATTTGGATGAAAAATTTGATGTCATCCTTGGAATACCGTGGCTTAAAAGGTACCAGCCATGGGTTAGCTGGCAACATCGAACAGTAAACAATGCCTGCCGCTTGTTCAAAAGATGGCCATCTGATGAACGTTTTGGAGCGTCCACAAGCGTGTGGATGTACTACGAGTGAGTGCGATGGCCTCACTTGTGGTACGGTCGTTAGTACGACTGCACGAAACCTTAGTGTAACAAACAGTTACACTTCGGAGCAAGCTTCCGGCGGCTGTGAGGGAACACAGGCTGTGCCGAAGGTCCACCACTCGAATAAGTCGAGTGGACCGGGACAAAGATGTATCCCTAGAGGGGAACATCTAGAAGAGAAACAATCGATTGCTCAGGTTAAGTGAAACGATAATCCTAGATCGACTGGAGAGTCTTTCGTAGAGGATCTCGCTGTAGTTGCGCAACCCCAGCTAGAGGAAGTAAAGGGAATAAGTCCCAAGATTACAAATACGGCGGAAATAAGTTCCCCGAAACCCGCGGGAATAAGTCCCCGGGAAGACGAAGGAATAAGTCCTTCGAGGCCTGAGGGAATAAGTCCCCAGGAAATGACAGAGACATTGAATGTCATAGTCAATAACGGATCATGTGTAGGCGCTTATACACTTGATCTGATTGCGCCTCCGAAGTTAACTTCGGAGATCACTCAGTTGCCAACGCTCGAACATAAAAGGTTCTTGCGTGATCTGCGTAGTGGCAAAGTCAAGCAGATCTGCATACTCGTCGCTGACGACGAGTGTGTAACCGACATAAGGTCAGCAACAGTGTTTACTGAGAACGAGAGAGTTCTCAGTAGTTCATCTATGGACGAGAGTGTCCTAGATGAAAAGACACGAATTGAGCGATATGACTCCCAATCATGGGAATCGCTCAAGAAAAATCCTCTCTATGAAGATTTGGTTGAATTCAAGGATGTATTCCCTGAAACTGTTCCGTGCGAATTACCGAAGGATAAAGGTATTCGACACGAAGTCGAGCTTAAACCAGGCTCGAAGTACTGTGTCATGAAGCAGTGGCCACTGCCTCGTGAAAAAGTACTTGCGATCAACAAGTTCTTTGCCGATCGTTTAGCAGCGGGCCATGTGAGGGAATCAACTTCCCCATATAGCTCTCCGACCTTCTGTGTGCGAAAAGCAACAGGAGGGTGGCGGATAGTGCACGCGTTTAACAAATTGAACGCTGCAACGGTACCGGCTCCGACGCCGATACCGAGGAAGGACGTAATCATTGATGGTATGTCAAAGAGTACCATCTTTTCGTCCATGGATTTGATGGATGGCTTCTATCAAATCCTAATGCGGGAACGGGATATACCCTATACCGCAGTTAGCACGCCTAGCGGCATGCTCTGGGAATGGCTAGTAATGCCACAAGGGCTTAGTAATGCCCCTGCCAGGTTAAACAGATGTGTATCACATCTGTTGAGAACAGTACGAGAATTCGCACCGAGTTATTTCGATGACGTATTCATCCATAGTCGAGCTATGGATGGAAAGTCGGACGTTGAGGTTCACAGGTACCACGTTCGACAAGTTCTTACAATCATGCGAAAGCATCAATTGTATGCTAACCTCAAGAAGTGTATATTTGCAGCAAGCGAAATACCACTTCTTGGGTGCATCGTTGGTAAGAACGGTGTACGTCCTGATCCCGAAAAGATCAAGGCGATCACCGACTGGCCTGTGCCGGTCGATGTCAAAGGTCTTCGAAAATTCCTTGGGCTAGCGGCGTATTTGCATAAGTATTCACCCAATTACGCCGAGATGACTGTGCACCTCTCTCGTTTGTTGAAAAAGAACGAGAGGTGGTTATGGAACGCTGAATGTCAACGCTCCTTTGAGGGTATCAAGCAGAGCTTGATACAATCCCCAGTCCTAGCAATAGCCGATCAGGACAGGCCATTTCATGTGGTCTGTGATGCCAGCGATTTCGCAATCGGCTGTGCATTAATGCAGTACGATCTTGAAGGCGTTGAACGCGTCGTCTGCTATCAGTCGCGTCAGCTGCAACCAGCTGAGCGGAACTATCCAGTGCATGACAAGGAACTCCTTGCCATGAAGTATGCACTCGCGAAGTTCAGAGTCTATCTATTAGGAGATAGACCCTTCGTTGTTTACACTGACCATGCGTCATTACGCACGGCAGTGAACAGCCCGCACCTTTCACAACGAATGGCGCGGTGGTTGTCATTCTTTGCAGAATACAACTTTACGGTCGAGTACAAACCAGGACGACTTAATGTCGTCGCTGATGCACTCTCACGTCGTCCCGACTTTGAAACAGTCGCGAAACCCAACAGTGAGACAGTCACTGTTGCGGTTATGACGTCCTCAGTTCCATCTACAATGTTGTATGATGATGTGAGGCGGGCATACGCCCAAGATGGTGAGATAGTGAAGTTGTTGTCACATCTCTCCCAACCATCCCGAGAATCGTTGAAACGATTGTCGCCTGCGTATCGATCTGCATCAGATCGATACACTACTCGTAACGGTTTACTGTATTTTACAGCCGTTTCTGGTGACACACCACGTGTTGTCATTCCAGATGATACTGATCTGCGTTTGCGGATCATGTTCGAGTATCACGATGCTCCTATAGGAGGACATCGTGGCCGAGAGAGGACATATCTCACGGTGAGTCGAGACTTTTACTGGCCCCGCCAGTATCAATTTGTGCGAAAGTATGTTCGCGCATGAGAAGTCTGTCAACGAGTGAAGTCAAGTCCTTCACTGCGTGCACCTTTACAGCCTCTACCGGTTCCGGCTGAGTGCTGGGAATCCATCTCAATGAATTTCGTCTTCGGGTTACCCAAAAACGCACGCGGGAATACGGGTATTCTCGTATTTGTTGACAGATTCAGCAAAATGGTACACCTTGTGGCTGTACCAGAGACAATCACGGCAAGTGGCTGTGCTTGTGTCTTTATTGACACCATCTTCAGACTTCATGGGTTGCCCCGTGAACTCGTCTCAGACAGATATCCACGATTCACTGCTGATTTCTGGCTTTCCGTGTTCAAATCACTCGGAACGCGCTTGAAGATGTCGACACCTGATTATCCAGAGTCCGATGGTCAGACGGAACGTGCCAATCGTGTCCTCGAAGAGATACTTCGAGGATACGTACACTTCTTTAAGAGTTGGAGTGAGTTTTTGCCAATGGTAGAGTTTGCCATTAACAACTCGGTGCATGCGTCCACGACACATACACCGTTTTACGTGAATGGCTTGCGCCATCCGCGTGTACCCACCTTACTAGAGTGTAACTCTGGTTTAAGGGGAGGGGGACTAGCGCGAGCAAAAACCGATTTGGTTCACGCTCATCACGCTCTGACGAAGAAGTCATTGCGTTTGATGCCGATATCGATAACATCGATATCGAAGAAGATGATGCCAGTGAGAGTGCGGAAGCCCTCACTGAAGAAGATGATCCAAGTGAGAGTGCGGAAGCCCTCACTGAAGAAAAGGTTGATGTTGCTGCAGTGCGCTCACAGCACACTGAAGCTAACGAGTCATCAGATGAGTTCATACTGGCTCGTGAAACGGTAGTCCGTTTTGTGCAAGGCTCCATCGCCGAAGCGGTGGATAAGCAAAAGCAAAACGCTGACAAGAATGGAAGGGCAAACACTCTTTTATTTAACAAAGGTGACTTAGTCCTACTGTCTACGGTTAATCTACCAAAGCATGTAGTGACTAACTTGGGTAGCAGTAAACTACTACCCAAGTACATCGTTCCATTTCGTGTATTGCACCGCCTAGGCAATGCATACACGATCGAGTTACCACGTAAGATGCGAACGCATCCCACGTTTTACGTTGGTCGGCTTAAGCCATACCATCAGTACGCTGCTTCTTCCGATGAAGAACGCCCTTGCGCTCAAGCATCTCACAGAGAGCTTAGTGCTCCCGATGGTGGGCATCAACAAGGGTCTGAAGAGCAGTTATCTCAGCCCGAGACCGATCAACAATCCCACGAGCTACCCTTAGCTCGTCACGAAGAGATGTCAGAGCTCTCTCGTTCTCGAGCTGAGCAAAGGCAAACTCAGCTCGATGCTTCGAGGCAGTGTCCGCCATTTGGAGACGTCTATTCCGCTCATGCTCGAGATCGTCGCGTAACCCTTGCATTACGCGATCAAAGAAGCCCTCGGGAACACACCGATCCACATGATCGTGTGGAGAGCGTCTTTCCTCCTCCTCCACCTCCATTAGAGGACTCTCGCGGTGGCCAGCGCTATCTAGTTGAGCATCTGTTGAACCACCGCGATGTGAACGGACGTCGGACGAGTTACCTCGTCCGGTGGCGCGGCTATCCCCCGTCCTGGGATTCTTGGGAGCCCCGCTCCT